GACCCTTGGGTGGGAGGCCGTGCCTGCAGGTCTGTGTAAGATGAAGCTTAGCTGAACTCCTGTCTGTGGCTGGAGCCAGAGTGGAAGATTATATCACTTTGTACATACACTTAGAGATCTCTGCCTGCTTGGGCTGTTCAGCAGACAGAGAGCATTGTGTCAGGCCTGCAGCACAACATGAAGGCATTTGTTCCCACTCATTTGGAGCAGCTTTCAGCCGCTGTAAACATAAGACACTTTGTAGCTGTGAAACTGTCTATGTCTGTGTTGATATCTACCGAGCCTTCTGTGGCCGAGCCTATGGGAGTCAACATAGCCCACCTGCCAGGAGAGTGCTGATGCTGCTGTATGTAGACAGATGGTTGAGTTTTCACTGCCTCAAGGGGTGGGAACAGTAAGAGGAACCCTCTGGGAGGCTTTTGAGAATGTCTAAACATAGATGTACAATCGCTAAGGGGCTCTTGGTACCAAAACTGAGCCCTCATCCCAAACTAAGGTCGAATGGCATCTGTTGCCTTTCATTCATTCATTCACAATTCATTCCTCAGGGGGTACAATATTGTGTACTAGTTATCATTTTACTGATATCATTGATAGATCTCTTTATCCATATATTCAGCTTCAAAGAGAGCTGTATAAATAGTCTTCATTTACCTAACTTTGCAACTAAAGCCTCTCACATTGATTTATCTCCAACTCTTCAAGTTTCAGAGTTGCTCAAGACTTCTCTTAAACAAATGCTTTGTTTCTCTTAAGCCAACTTACAGTTCTTTTTCTCTCATTTAACAAGAGGAAGATATTCCTTGGGGAAAGCGGAGGAGTGAGGGATGCAGTATCTTACATCTCTCTGCCTTGCCTCTCTTTGGCTCCTTCCTCTGTGGTGTCTTCCTCATCCACATGAAGGCCAAATGTCCTTAGACTTGGGATAAACAAACCTCGTGGGACTAGGCTTCCCTGTGAGTGGGTTCTCGTTGCTTTGTTCCCACAAGGAAATGACAGAGCCTCTTTTCCTTCCTTGTTTCACCCCTTGTCACTGAAGCCTAGCTGCGGCATGAAATACTGTGCCCAGAGTCTCTTGGATAAGTGTCTGTCAGCAACAGCTTGAGAAACAAACTGTTTCAGAAAGAGATTTCTTCAACTGCATTATCCATCCAACAATTTGAGCTGAAAGTTAAACTGGGTTCCCTCCAAGATGCTGTACATATTGATTGTGTACCTGACAAACATTTTGAGCATTTTGTTTAACAAATACATATTACAGTTAATATGTGCCACGCATGGATCTGTGCACTTTAAAAATGCTAACATTTAATCCTCCTGACAACCCATTTTACAGATGGAGAAATGGAGGCATGAATAGGTTGAATAACTTGCTCAAGACACATGACTGGCAAATGGCAGGGCTGGACTTGCTCCAAAGTCCATGCTCTTAACCCCTGGCCATGCCCCTCTTCCTTGGTCCATCTGTCAGAGCCTCAGCTCTGTGCCAGTGGCTACCTCTCCTCGTGATTTGGATAAATCCTGACTCATTCCAGCCAGTCTGGCCATCATATTCCACTTGCCAGGGATTGGTTTAAGATGAACATGCAATTGATTCTCACCAAAAAATGTGAAGATATACATTTTTGGGAAAGAGGGGGCTCTGAAAATGCTTAAAAAGTAACAAACTACAGCTCTTTGTTTAAGCCATTTTATGCAGGTTTTTGGTTATTTGTAGCTGAAACTGTCCTAGGTGATATAGATGCTAAATGAGTCTTTTTTTTCTAGAAGAAATATTAGCATAGAAATATAGTTGCATAATTGCTGGATCATATTTTCAAAACAGTATCTTGCCGACTTTCAAATTAAAGTTTGAATTTTCAAGGAACAAACAATGCTTGCAACATGCACAAATGACAGTATTTTGGGCTTGCCACTAAAAACTAAAGATGAAATTATAAGATGCTATGTAGTTCTGGTTTGGTATAAACCTTGTAACTACATTTTCACTGCCACGTTCTGTTATCGAGTGTCCATCCATATGAGAAGGCTTTTGAGAATTTGGTCCTTTGAGTCTATTAGAGTTTCAGATTCCAACTATATAACGCTCATAGAAAATCTTCTTCCCAGACTGGAAAACTTCTTTTTTATACCACTGAGTTCTTTATGGTTGGGAGATTTTTCTGTTTTCTGGGAGTCAGAATTCTCTAATTATATCAATAGAAAGTTGCCTAGGGAAACAACAGAAGCGCTTGGCAATTACAGGTTGGTTTTTCTTAATGGCTCAAAGGTTTCAGAACACTACAAAAAGTGTTAACTCGAAACTAACATTTTAACTGAACTTTTGATTCCTAGTGTATGCAAGATTCACGATATTAAAGTATCTGACCCAGAAGACTTCAATGATAAAAATGATTCTTTTAATTGAGTTTGTCATCCTTTAATTTTTCAGTTATCTATCTAGTACCGTACTTTACACACTTAAGTCCCTGAAATATTTCTTGACTGAAAACAAGTGTAAAGGGAGAAATTTTGCTATTGTTTTAAATATATATTATGTATAATGTATATATTAGCATCTATGTCTTCAAGTTAAATTATATAGTTATACCCCCCCACATGTATATTTGTATACACACATGCATGCACACATATTCCACTATTTTAAATGTAAGACTCAGCAAAGAAAAGGTATCAAGTTCTTGCAGCCAAGCAGGGAAAGTGAAATGTTTAGTCTTAACACTTAAACAGTCTTTGTTGGAAATCACTTTATTTTTTCATGAAGGTAACTTTACTTAGAGTTGTGAAATACGTCTATATTGTAGTCAACTAAAAGTCTGCGAACTCAGATACTCTGTAACAGATTGCAACAAATATCACGATGCCAGATGATTCCAAGTTAGCCCAGTGGGGATTATGCCTTCCAGGGGCTATTTGGAAATGTCTAAAGATATGTTTAGTTGTCACAATTTGGGAGGCGGGAGGGTACTAATAGTGGGTACAGGCCAGGGATACTGCTAAATACTCTACAACGCACAGGACAGTCTCTGCAAACTCCACAAACAGTTACCCAGCCCAAAGGTAAACAATGCTGAAAGTGAAAGCCCTGAGTTAGCAACATAGGTGCACACAGCAATTCTTCCCAGTTCAAAGTAACGTTCAAACTAATTGAATAAATGAGAATTCTCTAAGGCAACCAGTCGTTTTTGGTACAATGCTCATGGCAGACTCAGTAAAGAAGTCTACCATTGAACTCATTGCCCATATCACTCATGTTGACTAAAGTTTGCTCTTCAAATTGTGGTCCGTGGACCAGCAGCATCAGCAGCTGTTGGGAGCATTTTAAAATGCAGAATCACAGCCCTACTCCAGACCTGCTGAATCAGAGTCCGCATTTTTAACCAGATCCCCAGATAATTCCTACACACAGTGAAGTCTGAGGATCACCTGGTAGAACTATGTATCTACTAAATAAAAAGAGGACAGCTGTTTGCATCCCAGACAATCATCGGCTGCTTTAAGGACGTTAGCTTTGAGAATAGTCAGCCACAGATGTTTGCAGACCTCACCTCCAAAGCTGATCTGTGACTAGAAACCAGGCCAAGCGGTCCGGTCCGCTTCCTAGGAGCACGAAGCCAGATTGGAAAACCTCCCTACCGCAGGTGTGAGGCAAAAATCACCCCAGGCAAGAGTCTCCTGTTAACCGTTTTCATCGCCCCCTTTAGACTTTTCTCCACAGGTTAGCAATTAAAAGGAGAGTGAGAAATTCATTGAAGCACATTGAATTTTAATATTCAAATTAACACAGGATTTGACACAGGTCTGCCATCACCAAATGTGAGATTCCAAAAATACTTCTCCAATTTCATCCTAAAATATCTTTGGGTAAATGTGACCTATGTTTCTAAAGCCAAAGTATAAAAACCTTCTCAATTGAACTCTGCAGGGAAAAACGCAAAACCAAGTTGCATCTTTCTCTTCATTTTAGAAGTTGCTCCAGGATCTAAAGAATCCTGATTCTAATGTGAAGCAGCAGGATGTAGGTGGCTAGCTGAAATGCTAGTGCTTACTAAATATTTTAAATAGTGATTTTAGGCCAGTGGTGGGAAAAGCATTATGTTTTAATCGCAAAGAAAGAACTGAAGAGGGGCCAGCCCGGTGGCATAGTGGTTAAGTTCCCACATTCCGCTATCGGCGGCCCGGGGTTCGCCAGTTCGGATCCCGGGTGTGGACATGGCACTGCTAGGCAAAAGCCATGCTATGGTAGGTGTCCCATGTATAAAGTGGAGGAAGATGGGCATGGATGTTAGCTCAGGGCCAGTCTTCCTCAGCAAAAAGAGGAGGATTGGCAGTAGTTAGCTCAGGGCTAATCTTCCTCAAAACAAAAAAAAAAGGAAAGAACTGAAGAAATTTTTTAATTGAAAAATTCAATGCATTTTAGATTTAGGGATGCTAAAGCAATCTTTTCTCCAATCAGAGGAACATACATCTAACAGAATAGGGGTTCTCATAGTAGAAAATTTTTACTTGAAAAAAAGAATAAGGACAGAGAGCTTGCAGAAGTCCCAGGACTAAATTCGATAAAGACGCCTGGGGACCCTAGAATGTATGAACTAAAATAGGAAGCTCTACTAACGCATTGGTCCACCTGAGGATTTCCTAAAGAGTGTTCCTGAGATTTCCACAGAATGGACTGGGTTTCATGGGCAATTAGGCTTGAGAAACACTACATTGAACAAAGTTTTGGGTCTTTGCTAAAGAGCTTCTCAGAGCTTTCAATATGTTCATGAGAATTGTGAATCTCTAAGATAACATATACAGCATTTCCAACACATATTTTCATAGATCCCTGTACAAAAGTTCTTTGGCACATACTTTGGTAAATGTCAGGACAAGTTGTTTAGTAACAATAGTAGTAGGGATGGTTTTGTGGTTCAGTTGATGAGGAATCGTTTTGTTGAAGCCAAGGAGGATAAATCTGTGACCAAGACAGTAAAGGTCCATTTCCTCATGGGTCACAGGGTCCACAGGAAAGATGACGTGAGGCCTGCTGGAATATGGAACCAGGAGGAATAGTGACCCAGCTCTAGGAAGGACCAACCATGAAGCAGAGAAAGCTTGAGAGAGACTAATGAGCACAAAGCTGACTTCGGATGAGCAACTCCAAGCCTGCCACTCACGTACTCCACCTGAGGCTTTAATCCCCCACAGCTGTCCACCTGCAGTGCCTGATGGAGCATACCCTGTGGTGGCCACAGGGAAAGAGAGCTTGCAGCAAAGGCTTCAGCCCACAGTGGGGCCATCTTTTGAAAGAAGTTCCTCATCTTTGGTCATTTGGGAGGCAGCAACAGAAAGTTTCCCAGAAAGGTCATGACAAAGATTCCGCCAGAGGAAGCTCCAGTTTGGAGAGAGTCTGTGAGGTCGTATCTGTTGCTGAGGTCGCCTCAGAAGCAGACAGAAAATAGCCTTGTGATAGAACATCTGAGCGCCAAGAAGAAAAGGCAGATTGAAGAAGATGCCCAGTCAGCTGGCTTGGAACAATGTTCTGCAAATAAAAGCCTCTGAAAGAATTCAATGGGAAAATGTATTCAGAGCTTTCACAGGGTTGAGAAGCTATACGTTTAAGTAAAATCTGCATGATGAGGTAGAAACAGAGAGTAATAATTTTTGACTGTTGCCTTGCTGTGCGCTTTTCTTTCGTCAACTTACTCCAAAATGGTTTATTGATTGCCTCCCATGTGCCATAGCTGAGCCAATAATGACTCAACAGTCATGGTCCCTGCCCTCAGGGAGCTCATAATAACAAACACAACATTAATTATATCTTTGGATAAGTGCCTCAAAAAACAATAACAGGGCACTGCAATGGGGTTGACCAAAGTGGTGGCAGAAACCTAATTTAGGTGAGTGCTTAGAGAATCTCTGAGCAGGTGGTGTAAAGTTGAGCTCTGAAGGATGAGAAAGACAGTCCTGTAAAAATGTGAGGCAAGAGCATTCTTGGCCAATGAGAAGGGCTCACGGTGGGAAAGACCTTGGTGTGTTTGAAGAAAGGAGACCAACGTGGCTGGAGCGTGGTGGGTAGGAGAGGAAGTGGAAAGAGAGGAGGTTGGAAAGAGCAATAGGAGCTGGATTGTGCTGGGTGTGGCAAGCCGTGACAGGATTTTATTCTATACACGGGGGATCTGGATTTTATTCTATGCACGGCAACAAAGCAGTGGCTATGATGAGGGAGATGGATTAAAATGAGGCCACAGCGGAAGCAAAGAGAGAAGTAAAGAGGTCCTTACATGGTCTAGGCAGGAGGTCCTGGTGGCTTGAGCCAGGATAGCTATTGGATTTTTGTTTGTTTGCTTTTAATGTGTGGTTCCTTTTCTTTTAATGGAAAAGAAAGACCTTTGTAGTACTGGTTTCTCAACTTGGTTTCTGTAATCCTACCAGCTGATATTGGAGAACATGCATTGCCAGGGAAATTGATGGAGGAATTACTGCTGAGAAAGCAGTAAATCACTAACAATAGAGGCCAGACACCGTAGGGACACACTATCATCCCTCCCAGCCTCAGCTCATGTGCTCTCTTCCCTCCTATCTATGGAAATGGATTGTCTGACCCAAAATGGTGGGCCAAGGCTGCATCTGTCTTCCTCGTCTTTGTATACATTTGACACATAACTGGTATTTAATACATGTTTCCTGAGTAGAAGACAAGCAGGTAATGAAGTGACACATGTTTTTGTTTTGTTTTTGTGAACTAAATCTTTCACCACACCTAGCTCTAAGGTGAGGAGATAATCTGGGTTATTTAGTCAGACAGGACTGGCTGATAACTAAATGAGCATCTTAGCAGTGTGATTTTTATAGGCCTGTGAAGATGCCACTTGACTGCCTCCTTTGACCTGCCTGCTTGCTGCTGCCTAAACTTCTCCTATTAGAAGTTAATTCTTCTGATATGAGGTTGTATCCATTATTGAAACATGAATATCCAGAGATAACACATGAGACTAATCAATCATCTTGGCTTTAATGGACCTATCGTCTCTTTTCTTGAGAGAAAGCAGATTTTAATAGAGAGGAGGATGAAAAGAGTGTGAAGGCACTGTGGCTCCTTGTGGAGAAAATGCTCTAGGTGGGATGGGTGGAAGCGTGAAGAAAAGGGCAAGAGCAGAGAAAGAGGAGGGTTTCTAAGTGTTCACACTCTTTGACCCAATAATTCCATTTCTGAATAACTAACCTAAAGGAATAATAATAAACATGGGGTAAAGACTTATGTGCAAAGATAGTCATTGCAATATCATTTACAACAAAAAAATGGAAGCAACCTAGATGTCCAACGATATGGGCATGGGTAAATAAATATGATGTGGCTTTACAGTGCAATATTGTGCAACCGTTAAAATTATGTTTCTGAAGAATTTTTAATAGCATGGGATGAAAGTCCAAACAAAAGTATGTGTGTATATTTTATGTATACCATACATATAGAGTGTAATCTCAAATATCTAAAAGATAGATCTATGTAGAAAAGATTGACTAAATATGCATTTATAATTTTGTGGGTGTATATGTTAATAATGATGGATCTTTGGTGATATTTATTTTCTTCTGATAATTTTCTATATTTTCCAGATTAAAAAATAAATACGAATTATTAGAGGACATATTATTTTAAATATCTATACAAAATGTTGTTTAGAAGGAGAGGTTGCTCCAGATAGCGTCTCTCTCTCTCTGTGGCTGCTAGGCAAGCAGTGCTAGTTCTCGTGAACGTTAACAGATCTGACTGGACCTTTTTAGAACAGCTACCCTTTCCCCCTCAGAAGCAATTTCTAATTCATTAACCAAATTACTGCATCTGTTTCTGAAAAACAATCTGGGTGTTTGACTGAACTTGAATCTGTGGGATAGCTTTTTGGAGCTGAATCTTACAAGATATTCCTCATGCCTCTAAGGCCATGTTCCTGTTAGAGAGGGGTTGATGGTTATGGGAGAGAATTGAAGAACATTTAAATTCATCAGCAAAAAAGCCATTAGGTTAATTTCACAGCATTTGAAAATCAGCCTCCTGGCCCTTGGCTGAAATGACTGAAGGCTGGTAGCACCGTAACTTGGCATCCAGCAAGATGTGGTTGCTCACTCAGGCCACTTAGTTCTGTCAGAGATCAATTTTTTAATTTTTTTTTTGAGGAAGATTAGCCCTGAGCTAACTGCTGCCAATCCTCCTCTTTTTGCTGAGGAAGACTGGCCCTGAGCTAACATCCGTGCCCATCTTCTTCTACTTTATATGTGGGACGCCTACCACAGCATGGCATGTCAAGCGGTGCCATGTCCGGACCTGGGATCCAAACTGGTGAACCCTGGGCCACCGAGAAGCAGAACGTATGCACTTAACTGCTGCACCACTGGGCCCGCCCCAGAGATCAATTTAAATTGTGAAACAAAGAGGAAATGCAGAAGTTCCAGTCAACAGCATAATCACCACATTGCACCAGCCATAATATGCTCCTGAAAGATGTTTTCCATGACTGAACTTCTTGCTAAAGTGCAAGCTTGGTGTAGAATGCCAGGAAACATCTTCAGAAAGGGGTGTGTAGGGACCTGGAATTGGCCACCCCAAGATATGTCTCTTTGGCATCAGGATTATTTGAGGCTGATTGCTTTTGATAAACTGGGACAGGCAAGGAGGCTCTGAGGAATGGAACTTGCCCTTTGTTAGGACACATTTACATTTGTAAGGTAAATCTCTATCTGTAAAGGTGCCTCCCTCTCTGTACCAGGAAGAAGAAAGGAGATGACCTTCTCTCTAAAAACTCTTAATCAATACCAAAGGCAAGGACTTAAAATCTGCATTTTATTGTGCTAGTCTGGTAACCTCCTGTAACTGACTTCCCTCCCCCTCCCAGCGTTGGCATCTCCTTAAAGATTAAGCATCTTTCTTTAGGCTGGGAACCGATTGCCGCGCTCATCTGTGACCACCCCGGCCCGAGGCAACACACCTGCCACCTCGTGGTGTTCACTGGGACAGCCGACCTATCTGTCGTTTCCATCGAGTTCTGTGCTGACAGAGCGGCCTCGTGACTATTGTAAAAGGGACATTTCAATCACATGTGAAACACCCTGTTTGGGGGTATATAACCATTCTGTGCACCCCACTTCTTCGGTGCCCTTTCTTCCTTCGGGAAGAAAGGCCCCGGGCCATGGTTCCTCATAAAGCTTTGTTTAATTTTCTCTTGCTATTCTGTCTCGTGTGAATTTAATTCGTTCTCCGGCCAGATGAACCCCCATTTGGGAAGAGGAAATGTCTTCCTCCCCTACAGGTGGCACTCATCCCCATTGTTCTCCCTTTTCTCATGGAAGTGGGTGTATTTCTGTTGAGGTCATTTATGTTCAATTAAATGGTAATTTCTGGAACACTAGGAATGAATTGGTTGCTAAATTAAGTTGTAACATGGTAAAACACGCTCCTTAATTTCTTTCCTAGGTTCTATTTAATGCAAAAACTGTAGAATCTGATCTTGACATAAATTGTCTCTTTCTCAAAATAGAGAGTTTCTTTCAAATGTTAAAAGGTACAGTTGGCATCTTATTTTATTTGATGGCTTATAGTTCGTTAATATCATATACTTTGATCCTTAAATCATTTCAGATTTGACCAGTAGAAAAAATCTGTATGTAGAGATAGAGATATGTGTAGATCAACGGGTCTCAACCAAGGGTGATTTTGCTCCTTGTGGGATACTTGGCAGTGTCTGGTGACAGTTTTCATATCTCAGGGTTGAAGGAAGGGGTGATGGAAGTATCTTCCTGGCATCTAGTTGGTTGAGGCCAGGGAGGCTGCTAAACATCCTACAGTGTACTAGCCAGAATTATCTGGCCCAAAATGTCACTAGTGCCCAGGGTGAGAAACTTTGATGTGTGTAGATGAGGTGAATGATAACGTAAACGTGGTATGATATTGACATCAAGGTGAAAGATACGTGGGAGTTTTCATACTATTTTTGCAATTTTTCTGTAAATCTTGTTATTTCAAAATTTTAAAGTTTTAAATGAGTACAGGTGGCTGTTTTGGTCTTAGTACTCTGATCTGCAGCCTAGAGATAGAAAATGACTTGTCCCATCTTGGGAATGTAAGTTCAGCTCAGTCATTGTCCATGACCTCTGGGGTCACAGTCTTCAGGGGCAGGAAGGAAAGTCGGCAGGGGTCCCAAGTGCCCCCATGGGCCATGACTGTATTTGCTTGTTCCACCATGAGAATGCACACCCGTCACGTCGAGGTCATATTTAGACAGAGGATTGATGTTCTGCTTAAACTGCTTTTTTTTTTTTGAGGAAGATTAGCCCTGAGTTAACATCTACCACCAATCCTCCTCTTTTTGCTGAGGAAGACTGGCCCTGAGCTGACATCCATCCCCATCTTCCTCTACTTTATATGTGGGACACCTATCACATCATGGCTTGCCACGCAGTGCTATGTCTGCACCCTGGGGTCTGAACCAATGAGCCCCAGGCCACCAAAGTGGAACGTGAGAACTTAACCACTGGGCCGGCCCCCTAAACCACTTTTTTTGACCTGGAGTTGGAAGCTGTTGATGAAGAACCCACCCCTCCCCACCAAACCCCCCTTTAGCTACATCTTGTCCCCAGGCTGCATTATATTTCCTATCTATCTCCCTAGCAATTGTTGTTAGATCTTCTTCTTGACTTTATGCCCTGATCCCCCAACAATATCGTGAGCTCCTCTGGGTTAGGAGTCCTGCCTTCTGCCATATGTCTGTGTAATGTAGTGGCTAATAAGAGTTCAGGCTCTGGAGACACCCTGCCTCTTCCACCTCTTACTAGTTGCGTGACCTTGGTCATATTATGGAACCTGTTTGTGCCTCAGTCTCCTCCTCCTTAATGGGGAGGAAAATAACACATCTGGTGGAGTTTAAATGAATTAATACATATAAGTTGGTTCAACAATGGCACATATTGAGACCTTAATAGAAGTTAGTATTTATTTATTCAATCATTCGTTCTGTAGTATTAGAATTATTTCTGCCCTTCCCACCCCCTGTATACTGTTCCCTAGCCCCTGTGTTAGGAAGATGTAATTGATGTGTCCCAACCATCCAGGTGCTTCCTACAGCCCTGGCTCGGGTTCTCACTGTTTCTGTTGCATTGTCTCGGCTCAAATGCTATTGAGAATCTCCATGCTCGGTGGCGGGCACAGTGATGGGACTTTTTAATCTTTTATGTCTCTGTCCTTTTCCCATTCCATCCTATCCAACTCCCTTCTTCCATTCTTTGGGTATTTCCAGTGGGCCATACACTGTACTAAAGGCTTTTTATTATTTCATTTGCTTTTCATAAGAGCCCTGTGTGAGACAGAGGCCATATTCTCCTCACTTTATAATTAAGGAAACTGAGGCTTGGAGAGGTTAATTGAATTGACCGAGGCCATAGAATTAAGAAGTGGTATGCTTTTTCCTCTACTTTTCCAGTAATGATGTACTTTGAGCAGGGGAGAACCCACTCTGTTGGTAGACGATAGCCCAAAGAGTTGATGCCATTCTTCTCTTTTACTTCCATTCAAATGACAGAAGCTGGCAGAGACCTGCACAGATGAGCATTTAGCATTTGTCATGTGCCAGGGGCTGTGCTAGGTACTGGGACATAAAAGTGGAAAAAAGTTGGTCAGTGACCTCAATTTATTTAGTGTCTCAGTTATCTTTTACTGTAACAAAGCACCCCAAAACTCAGTGGCTCAAAACAATGATTCATTGTTTCTCATGATTGTATGAATTGTCTGGGCTCACTAAGCAGTTCTTCTGCTCCATGTGACATTGCTTAAAGTCACTCATGGGGCTGCATTTAGCTGGGAGCTTAGTTTGAGGGTCCAAGATGGCCTCACTTGCATGTCTGACAGTTGGTGCTGGCTGTTGGCTGGGGACCTGTGTTTTCCTCCACGTGGCCCCTCACGCTCCTCTCACCACATGATTTCTCCAGTAGGACAGCCTGGACTTCTTTACGTGGTTGTTGGCTTCAAGGGAGCAAAAATGGAAGCTACATGGCCTCTTAAGGCCTTGTTACAGAAGTCACACAGCATCACTTCTGCCGTATTCTGTGACCCAAATCAAGTTACAGGGCCAACTCAAGGGGTGGGGAAAGAGTCTCTACCTCTCGATGTGAGGAATGGCATAGGAGCACAGGGATGGAAAGGATTGTTGTCACCGTCTTTGAAAACAATCTAACACACTCACTGTCCCCCTAGCTCTTTAGCCCAAAGAACACGGTTTTAGAGCTGGAAATCTCTTTAACCATCAGCTGGTTCAACCCTCTAGTTTTACAGATGCGGAAACCAAGACCTGGGAAGTCAAGCCATTTGGCCTAGGCCAATACACTTCATGGAGGAGCCAGGCTTAGAACCGGGCTTGCCTGGTTGGTGTTATCATCTGTGTATCCAATATGTGCTTTGCTTTTCCATCAGAGGATGTCTCTGCCAAGTTCCTCTCTGACTTAGGCTGTCCTTGTTGAGTTTGGAAACCACAAGGGTGCAGAAGAAGAAAGGGACCTGCCTTTTCTTTTTTTCTTTTTTTTTTTTTTAATTGAGTTAATGATAGGTTACAATCTTGTGTGATTTCAGTTGTACATTAATGTTTGTCATTCGTATTGTAGGTGCACCATTTCACCCTTTGTGCCCACCCCCACCTCACCTTTCCCCTGGTAGCCACTAATCTGTTCTCTTTGTCCACATTTTTAAATTCCTCATATGAGTGGAGTCATACAGAGATTATCCTTCTCTAACTGGTTTATTTCACTTAATTCCCTCAAGTTCCATCCATGTTGTTGCAAATGGGATGATTTTGTTCTGTTTTGCAGCTGAGTAGTATTCCATTGTATATATATATATATATATATATATACCACAACTTCTTTATCCATTCATCTGCTGATGGGCACTTAGGTTGCTTCCATGTCTTGGCTATTGTAAATAATGCTGCAATGAACATTGGGGTGCACAGGACTTTTGGAATTGCTGACTTCAAGCTCTTTGGATAGATACCCAGTAGTGGAATGGCTGGATCATATGGTAGTTCTATTTTTAATTTTTTGAGGAATCTCCATACTGTTTTCCATAGTGGCTGCACCAGTTTGCATTCCCACCAGCAGTGTATGAGGGTTCCATTCTCTTCACAACCTCTCCAACATTTGTTACTATTAGATTTAGATATTT